AAGCAGAAGCAGAGAACTGCTAAGGCAGCTGCACCCTTGTGCGACCATTACAAAGCAAGAGAGCCGAGAACTAGAAAGGTGAGGCTCACTGAGCCATTTATTCCTCTGCCCTTCAATTAATCCCACATGTGTTTATAGCCCAGGTTGGCACAATAAACTAACTAACTCATTTAGCCAGGGTTCTTAAAAATACATCAATATATCTTCAAACTCTTCAGTCTCAAGGTGTATTTGGAGATTGTGCTATGCCATCTGAAAAGATAAAACTGAAAAGATAATAAAACTGTTGATTTAGAAATATGATGCATACTGAAATTTACAGTTTAGATTGTGTGTTGAAGTGAAATTACTTGGATCGGCTTTCTATTCATGTGTTTGTAACTTCCACTAAATGGGTGGATGGGATAATGAAAATGGAGTGTGTGGAGTAGTGGTAGAAGGGTTTTGGGTCCGTTTTGCTATCCCACTGGACATATCAGAGTGAGCCATCTCAGAAACAGGGGAAGAGAATCCTGTGACCATTAAGAAAGAAAAGTCACCACCGGAGTGCATGTGAGATCCCAGTCTGAAGTGGCAGAGGCAGCAGAGGCCACCGCACAGAGACCAAGAGCCAAAACTAAGCAGAGGTCAGGAATTGCATGGCTGAGAGGCTGAGGGCCCGAGGGACACGTCTGCTAGCATGACTGAGAAGAGGCTTCATGGACAAAAGAACTTTATCCTTGATATTTTGTAATATGTTAGCTTGCTCAATAAGCTTCATAATCATGAGCATCATCTCTGAGTTCTATGTGTCCCTTCCAATGAATTACCAAACCCAGCAGAATAGAGTGCTCTTAAGAGCAATGGTTCATGTCAGAATAGGATAACGAAGGCTGACGGGAGGAGGTATGCCTGAGCCCTGCCTCGCAGGAGTCACCTGTGGACAGACGTGGAGTTTGACTTCCTTCTGCAGTGTGTAGCTAGCGGAGCTTGGACAGCACTCCCAGGGCATTTTCTCAGGTTTTGAGGTGTCACTATCTTTTTGTGACCTCCAATTTGGTAAATTAAATCAGACACATCAGGAAATATTTGTAGTTGATTTATTTTCTTTTGATTCATATTGCAGCTCTGATTTTTTTAAATAAAAAGTCTTATATTTTGTTTCAGAAAAGGAACACACAGAATTTGAAAGTGAACAATCAATATAAAGTCTTTCTTGGATTCATGCCCTTGCACCTTTTAAAATAATATTTTCTTTGAAAATTGGGGGGGAATAAAGATTAAGGGTTGATTTTTCACCTTCTTTCTCTCTCTCAGATCAGGAGCCCTTTGGTGTAGTGATTACAATTTGGGCTGTGATCTGCATGGTCCACATGGTCCACAGTTTGAAACTAGCAGCAGCTCCTCTGGGGAAAGATTCAGCTTTTTGCTCCTGTAAACAGTTACAGCACAGTCTCATAACCCCAGGTCAGAATGGGTGGGGCACTATGTGTCAGCATTAACTCTATGGTAGTGAGTTTTCTCTCTGTGTATATGACTAGTTTTTGAGGCCCATTGCAAGGGCAAAAAAGTATTTGGTTTCACTTTGTTTTAATCTAGATTCTGGTTAAAAATAACTAGGATATGTGTATTTGAAATATTTACTGTTGTATTACATTAACTAATTTATGGTAACTATCATCTACTCTCAAAGACTGTGATATAATTCTGAAGAATTAAAATTTTATCTGAAAAAAATTTGCTATATTCCTTGTGCCTTAAAAGTCTATCGCATTGGGTTTTTTTTTGCTCTTAAAAAAAAATCATTTTATTAGGGGCTCATACAACTCTTACCACAATCCATACATACATCAATTGTGTAAAGCACATTTGTACATTCATTGCCCTCATCATTCTCAAAACATTTGCTCTCCACTTAAGCCCCTGGCATCAG